ATAGTTAACACCAACTATATAAGTTAGAAAGACTTTCTTCTACTCAAACAATGTAGGTACTGACTATATTAATATCAAACCGCTTCTTATATATTAACGCGGCATCCTGCGCCGGAAATCTTTATCAAACGGAAAACATTCATTAGCAAGAAAAACGATACTCGACAGGAAGTCTTAATCAATAGGAAACAGTGAAATATACAAACGAGGAACATTAACATAAAAACAATACGCGGCAACCTACGGAAATCTTAATCAGCAGGAAACAGTGAACTTATAAAGACAACGATAACATTCAGGAAAAAACGTTACAACAAAAAGTAAAAAAGAAGTCGGGTTGTTAAGCTAATTATAGGAAGCAATGTCAGCATGAAATCAGACGATGTGGCGAGTGGCGGCTTAATCAGCAGGAAACAGTGAAACTATAAATGCAACGATAACACTAATCAGCAGGAAAAACGTTAGAACAAAAAGTAAAAAGTGAAACAATGCCAGCATGAAATCAGACGATGTAGCAAGTGGCGGGGGGAGACCTGGTGACCATAGCGAATCCTCATATAAATATGTTGATGCTTCTTCTCAATTTCAATATTATTTAGTACACCTATTTCAACACGTTTTAAAAAAATCATAATGGAAGATATCGATGAAGCTTTTGTTGATACTGTGTTTGCCAGTTTACCAGTTATTGATGGTCATCGTCAAACTCTCCGCATTTCTCAAGAAGAAGAAATTTTGCTGTCAGCAGGTCTAGTGCAATTCCAGTTTGTAAATACTACAGAAGGCGTTTCCAAATTAATCTATCACCACCAACCTAGGAGTTTGAAAACAATCAGCGCAATTGTAACATTAAACCAATTTAAATTACGATCATTTCAACATGAAAATTTATTTGGGCACATCCACTTACCTGAAAGTGTTTTAAAATTATGGCAAGCAAGAACACTAAAAATTATCTGTACAACCGAAATTTTTGAAACGTTATCTAACAGGGGAATCTACAAGACAACAATAACTCAAAACTTAAAAAAATCATATCCTTCTACTTTGATCGTTGGTATTAATAACACCTCTGTTCTGAATCGAACGCTCACTCGTAAACAGTATGAGGAGGCTGCGCAAGTGTTGGAATATACGCATCCCTGGATAACACCTTATACACCGGCATCTCCATCGTTATCATCTACTTCTTCAATGCCTTCGTCTAGTGGTGAGGATGAGCAGGAAGATTTTCGATCGATTGAAATGAATGAGCTTGAAAATGAAGTAGATTATAAATTTCGAATCAATCGTTTAGTTAATCGAATTGAACTGGATAAACAAAGTCTACGTATTTATCCTCAACTAGAATTGGAAAGTTTACCGTATCATAGATTTTATAGACATGTAAATGTAGATCCTACAAAAATTGATTTGTTACAATACCAAACTTACCTTGATAGCTGTAGTTGAAATGGGTGTAATAAATAATATTCAAAATGTTATTGTTTATTTACAAGTGCGTTTAAGCGTACAATTATAGAATCATGAATAATCTACTTGCATGAAATATTTATTCTTTAAGACAATTATCTGGTGGAGAAAGGTATCTTCTAAAGAGATATCGAATTTACAAACGTATTTAAAAAGCGTACAATTATAGAATCATGAATAATCTACTTGCATGAAATATTTATTCTTTAAGACAATTATCTGGTGGAGAAAGGTATCTTCTAAAGAGATATCGAATTTACAAACGTATTTAAAAAGCGTACAATTATAGAATCATGAATAATCTACTTGCATGAAATATTTATTCTTTAAGACAATTATCTGGTGGAGAAAGGTATCTTCTAAAGAGATATCGAATTTACAAACGTATTTAAAAAGCGTACAATTATAGAATCATGAATAATCTACTTGCATGAAATATTTATTCTTTAAGACAATTATCTGGTGGAGAAAGGTATCTTCTAAAGAGATATCGAATTTACAAACGTATTTAAAAAGCGTACAATTATAGAATCATGAATAATCTATACTTGCATGAAATATTAATATTTATCTACTTGTTTTTATTCTTTCAGACAATTGTCTGGTGGAGAAAGGTATCTTCTACAAAGATATCGGTTTTATTATACTTGTATTGCAAATCAATTTTTCACTTACGGTCCAACTCTGATGAACGCAGTGTTAATCAACGAGCTCGCAAACAGCCATATATAATTGTCTCCGAAAAAGGGCTCCATATAGAGCAGCACGTCCCGTTTTTCCTGATAGTGTAAATTATGCGAGCAGGGACACATCACCTTGTATCCCTAAGAATATTAATTTAAAAGAAATAATATAATATATAAATAAACCTACTCGCGGCACAAAATCACACACTTGTTTGTACACCCATTGACACTTATTCATATCAGATTCTTGTTGAGCCATAATTGCACGCGCTTTTTAAATACTACGGGATGATATTAAAAACATTTATATTTATACAGAATTTGCACATCCGTAAAAGATAGACACATTTTCCTTTTAGTCAACAATTATCTAGTAGCATCCTCTCATAATTATAAAAAGTGAGATAAATCTCATGCGGTTATTTTTCTCTTTCTTCTTATCTAAAATTCTCGCATGCAGTAAGTTCAGAGAGATTGCGAGCCAGTGTTTTTTATATCTAATCTGCTATGAATAGACAATAGGATGTTGCATCCTCTCAGAAACGTTAGATTGCAAGTATTGTAGCATCCTCTTATTTTTTCTCCATTAAAAAGAAAAATGTAATTTCTTCAGCGTCCGAAACTATAAAATAAGAGCCGCCTAATGTGAATTTGCAGTTGTCAGGTGATTACACTTCAATTCATATCGATCATTAAAATGGATCAAATACTTCGCAACATTGCTCAACGAGAGGAACAACAGGAAAGTAATTATATTAAAACGAAAAGTGAATTGCTAAGTTTAAGCGTGAATGATCTATTGAAAATCTGGACCAAGATCCCCGCTGTATTTCAAGGAGATCGTCAGCTGCGTGATAAAATAAGGTGTACAACACATTGGAACAGACCGGAAGATCGCATTCACATCGATGGTCCACCGCCGTTAATGATTTATTGTAGAAATTGCATGCTAGACCGTACACTAAAAAATAATGTAACTCCATAATTTCCTATTATATACATTGAAAAATAAAATGATTTACGTTTCTATACGTCTCTTATTTTAATCTCGAGCGAGCTATGGATAAGCTATAGGAAAAAAGCGTTGAGGTAGCACCTACCCTTTAGGGGGTACCTCCTACCGGGTACCCCTTACGCCGTACGATCTATCGCCACACCGGCGACGCATCGCGCGCCAAAACTTCTCGCAATACTTCAACCTCTAAATCTTCATATCACGAATACGCTGCTGGTCTAATACGCTAAACGGTCACGCTCGTAATTCACATATCCGTGGTTCAAACCCTCGCAACGGCAAAAATCTTTTTTTCTTTCATTAATTGCTGTGACGTCACGCCTGGCCCAGAACGTACAGATCATAATAAGTTTAATCAACACGTCACAAAATGGCCGACAAATATGCTCCCATTGGCTCACACGTGACCACGTGACCAACTTCCACGCTCCCCATTGGACTGACGTCATTTCCTGGTCCAGAACGTACTTTGATATACTACTACGGTTTTGATTTAAAAAACCAAAGACTGTAGGTTATTTATTAGAAATAAGATTAAACTGCCATTTTCCATTTTGATTTCACAAGGTAAGCTTTTTTTACTTTTTAATTAAAATGCTATATATACCTTTATATGAGTGTGTCTTGTTTTGTGTCCTTAGTCGTTCGTTTAACGATGATTGAAATTGAAGCTTCGCAATTGAGATTCTTAGATTTTTTTCCTTGACTTGGTTTTACTTTTTTTAACGAACTGTGATTTCTAGAACTAAAAACACTTTTTTAGCGATGCTGAGAAGTTACCTTTACCACGCAAAAATAGATAACCAAACCACCTCCGTTTAAATTGTTGTAGTATATCTTTACCTACTTTAACCAGTTTCTAGATCAAGCTCAACTGTGTAACTGATCTGGCAACACTGATGAAAATATAGAACAATACAATCAACGGCTCTATACAGGGTGGTGCCTAGCGCAACGCAGCATAGGGATTTCAATGGTAATTTCTTTATAGTCAATTACTAGCTCCCCTAATTATTTTAGAGCAAAAGTCTAAATATATTTTTTTAGAGAAAAAATACTGCATCTGTTCATACTTTTAGTTATAATTTTCCATTTTTCAAAACCGTATAAATCGACAAAATAAAAAATTACATTTTTATAAATCAGTGATGCTTTGGAACCTTTTAACAAACTACAAGCGCATCGCATCTAAATTTATTATGGTTGTTTGACGTCGAACGATTTTCATATTTAATTCTGTTTCAACTAACTACTAACCGACGCAATAAAAGGCATCTTAGGGTAATGTTTTTTTAGAGAATGTATGCTGCATCTGCATCAGATACTATTTGTTTATCATTTTCCGGAATCAGAGTACCTCCTACATAATCGAAGAAAAAAAACGGATTTGAAGAAGATTTGTTCTTAAACTTATATTCGGATTTTCCGCTACTGCAACCAAAACGTTGAATGTATTGTCGTTTTCCTGATGGTTTTGACGGACATTTTGAACGTTATTGCACTTGCAGTTCTTTAACTAATTTATAAACAAGTATAAATTTAATATACGTCAAAGGCAAATAATGAAACGTGATCGCCGTTTTTTTAGGTAATTCAAAGGCATATTTGATTTATTGTAAAATGAACCTTTTTATTTTGTCGATTTCTACGGTTTTGAAAAACGGAAAATTATAAGTAATAGTATAAACAGATGCAGTATTTTTTTCTCTAAAGAAAACGTATTTAGACTTTTGCTCTAAAATAATTAGGGGAGCTAGTAATTGACTATACAATTCCTCTATTGTCCCATAAAATATCGCCCGAAGCGTTGAGTATTCGTAGAAAACTTTCGGCCTTCTTCTTAAAAGTTTGCGGCATTGACGCATTTATTTCATCTTGTGATATTCCTGTAGGCCTCGATTCAATTGCTATGCTTACAGGTTTTCGCATTTGTTCCGCAAAATGTAAATATTTCTGTAAAACTTGAGAATACTGTTGCCACTTTTCATATGGAGAATGTGTAGAATTTAATACGTGTGACATTTCGTCATCAATCTGTGATAAAACATCTTCCTTCCTAGTTTCATTCGCTTTAATTCGTTGCATAAATTCCTGCGGTACGAGTAACATTTTCTTTGCGTGTTCCATGATTATTGAAAAAGACGGACCTAACACAAAGGGTAAGAGTGCACCTCCGTTCTGAATTAGTATCTGTTTCTTCTTTTTTATCTTTTCTCGGGGTATTACCATACGCCTTAAGATGGTTTTATGCAGAAGCTTTATAAATCCCGCGTAACTGTAAATCTAATACGTCATTATAATATCGCGAATTAATTTGAAAAGATGAGTCATATTGATGCACCTGCATTTTTGTGAGTCATCACGAAAACAAAAGAAACTGATTGACAGCGACGACATCATGTCTACACTATAACAATAGAACGATGAGTCACCGTTGTGCAGCTGACAATGAGTCATCATTTTGCAGGTGATTATGAGTCATACTTGCGCAGAAAATCGGTTTAAGCCCTATGAGTCATAGTTGTTGCGATGCGTCATCAGAGATTTTGTGAGAACGATAGACTACTTTTGATGGGACTGTACATGCTTGTATAAAATCAGAGATGTTCAAGGGAGAAAATTACTTGCGTTCTTACTCTGTACGTGCGTGCTTTTTCGTGTTTTTACGTTGTTTGTGTTTTTGTTGAATTTGTGCAATGGCTACCCATTTTAAGTTGTTGTGCCGTGTGTTCGAGAGTGGCCTTCTCTCAGAAGATGATATGGTGCAGGCATATTATTACATGCTTAGGATGGTTACTTCCGGGGAAGTTACACCCGACGCCGATGATATTGTGCGCTTTAGGCGCCTTCGTGAAGCGGCTGGCGCAATTCAAACTCGACTTCTTGGACAAATTATGGTAAGTTTTTAATATTTGTAGGACTTTTACGTGTTCTAGAAACAAATTTTCTTCGTAGAATGCTCATCAGGTTCGTGCGGCAGTCAACCCACCGTCGCACCCCTCGAACTTACTGTCAGTGTAAGTTTACTTTTAATTTAAAATTGTGCATGTCTTAATTGTAAATTTCTTTGTAGAATCCTCCACAACAACCTGCGTTTACTGTTAAAACACAGTCGCAAGCGATGGACCTTACTGTAAATGTGAGTACATCTTATTTCTTAAGTTGATGTTTCCTAACTGAAATTTATTTGGGCAAAAGGCAATTCCGCAACCTCATTTTGCGAAGGAACAATCGCAGCCGATAGATCTTACTGTCAATGTAAGTTTACTTTAATTTCTAACGTTGTGTATTTTTAATTTGAATCATCATTTCAGAATCCAGCGCAACCTTCGACTTCAGGAGCGATGCCTAAACGAAAGCGTGCTGCTCCGTGTGTAAATAATGTAAGTTTAGGATTTAATCATTTGCCTACAAATTTTAATTTCCGTTTTTGTTATAGCCCCAAACATCTACGGAAAACACTCTTCTTACGGGCTGCGGTACCACTACCCGTTACCAGGTACTCTCCGAAGGGGAAACTGTGGTAAAAAAATTTAACCTTTCGGCTAAGCGGATAACGATTAAATTTAATGAAGTCACAGACAATGAATTAGCATTAGAATGGCTCAAGGTACGCATTCGCTAATATTTTATGGATATATGTACAACTGAAATTTTTGTTACAGAAATCCTTAACTGAATTAATTGAGTACATAACTAAGGGCCGTGCTGCGGATGACCGAATCGGGATGCTCATGTCCAATGATGAGTTTCCTGACAAACCACTCGCTTTCTCCTTCCGCCGCGTTGATCAGCTGTCGCCAGAAGTTATGATAAAGATGATGGAGAAAGTTCTGCAGAGTAACCGATCCTTCTTCAGCAGCGACGCTCTCCGTATAGACGTAAGCCTGATTACTCTACCCGCTGGGCGAGGACGACAATGGATGACAGGATGCAGTTTTAAAGAGTTCTGCCTTAAGAAACGTGGTATCATTTCAATAAAGAATCACGATACGTTGTGCCTTGCCCGTGCCCTGGTGACGGTCATAGCATTCAAGACCAAAGCAGCTAATTTAAGATTGTTCGAGTCCGGTCACCCCCTTCAGCGGCAGAAAGCCCTGGAATTGTGCGCTGCTGCCAGTGTCGACTTGAGCAATGGAGGAACGATCGATCACATACGTCAGTTTCAGGATTACACCATCGTAGTGTACAACCACAGGATGGGAAAAACGGGGTACTTTGAGGGGCCACGGTCTCCACAACGTAAAGTGCTTAACCTCCTCTTTGAACAGGAACACTATAACGTCATCACAAGTTTGACGTCTGCGTTCACGTGTGGGTACTTTTGTGAGCTGTGTCGTATGCGAATGAATGGTCGTCGGGAACATAAGGACTGCAAGTATATTTGCCCTTGCTGTCACAACAATCCGCCGTGCAGCAAAGTCAACGCTGAAGTCAAGTGTGATAACTGTAATCACGATTTCCGGGGACAAGAGTGTTTTCAACTGCACAAGGATCAGGGATTGTGCGACAGTCTTAAAAGATGCCGTAGCTGCTTAGCTTCCATTTGGAAGGGTACGAAAGCTCACAAGTGCGGATTCAAAAAAATGCATTACGTGCCAAGCTGATCGTCCTATAAGAAGACATTTGTGTTACATGTCAAAGAACTCACCGAACAATAAGAAGTTACAGAAAGACTTCGTATTTGCATTCTATGACTTCGAGTGCCGACAGGACGACGCGTATGAAAACCGCCCAGCCACTTTTCTGCACGTGCCAAATTTGTGTGAAGTGCAGCATATGTGCCGTCAGTGTATAAATAATGATACAAGCATCAATACTCCGTGTGTAAATTGGGGTCCCCGACAACATATATTTCAAACATCCCCCGTTACCGAACTTTTAAACTACATTGCTAATATGGCCCGAAAAAATCGTGAAGTTGTTGCCATAGCCCACAATAGTAAGGGTTACGACAGCATATTCATCCTAAGGGAGATTATGAAGAACCCTTCGGCATGGAACCCTCAAATTATCGCAACGGGTACTAAGATTACGTCGCTAGCGTGCAACAACAACGTCCGTTTCATCGATAGCTTGAACTTTTTACCCGTCCCTTTAAGTGCGTTGCCAAAGACATTCAATTTTGAAGGCTCCAAAGGATATTTCCCACATTTCTTTAACACGATTGCTAACCAAGACTACGTCGGAGCCCTACCTGCAATAGATTTCTACGGAGCCAATGAAATGTCTCCGAAAAATCGTAAGGAATTTATGCAATGGTACGACGCAGAAATCGCCAGGGACGTCATCTTCGATTTCAAACGTGAAATTGTGACGTACTGCACCCAAGACGTCAACATCTTGCGACGTGCTTGCATAGCATTTTGAGCAAACTTTGTGAAGGAGAATATGGTGGATCCGTTCCGAGAGTGCTGTACGATTGCCTCTGCGTGCAGTCTTGTCTTTCGTCGGAATTTCCTTCAAGAAAACACCATAGGTCTTATCCCCCCTGGTGGCTATCGCTGTGGTGACAAACAAAGTAAAGTAGCCATCAAATGGTTGCTGTTGAAAGCCCAATATGCGCCTGATCTCAAACATATCGGAAATTCTCGGGAAGTTCGTCTCCAAGAAGGACTTCTCGTAGATGGATTCTCACCAGCAACCAACACTGTTTTTCAATTTCATGGTTGTTACTACCACGGCTGTGAAGAATGTTACCCAGATCAAACGGCTCCTTTGAATGGTAACAAGGAAGACAGTATGTTCATGCGCCGCGAGAAGACCTTAGCCACTTCATCCCGTATACGAGCAGCCGGATACCAACTTGTAGAGATGTGGGAATGTGCATTCCGCACATTTCTCACGAGCAACCCGGAAATTGCTACTTTGTTGGAAGGTAACAACATTATGAAAAACGAGCCTCTAAATCCACGCAATGGTTTCTTTGAGGGCAGGACCAATGCTGTCAAACTTTATCACAAAGCCGAGGAGAAAGAAGCCATAAGGTACCTTGACGTCTGTTCACTATACCCCTACGTGAACAAGTACGGTAAGTACCCTGTTGTGCATTCATGGGTGCTCGTTACGACTGAAGAACTTGGAATTGTCAACCTAAACACTGCCGAAGGACTTGTAAAGTGCACCATACTTCCTCCGCAGAATCTATACTATCCTGTACTACCGTATCGATGTCATCAGCGCCTTATGTTCCCTTTGTGTCGCACATGCTGTGAGACCATGCAACAGGAGGTCTGCAATCACTCTGTAGAGGATAGACAATTTACGGGGACATAAATTGCTGATGAGCTACGCAAAGCCACATCCCTAGGGTACGTGGTGCAGGAGATTCATGAGGTATGGGAGTACACCATGACTCAATACGACAGGGCACGTAAGAGCGGTGGATTATTCGCCGGGTACGTGGACAATTTCCTTCCGCTGAAACAAGAATGCAGCGGATGGCCATCATGGTGCACTGAGGAAAGGACAAAAGACTAATTCGTGCTCGAGTACTTGGAACGTGAGGGAATTAGGTTAGACCCTACAAAAATCGGTGACAACGCAGGTTTACAGTATATCACCAAACTGTTCTTAAATTCATTCTGGGGGAAATTTGGCCAGAGGGATAACCTCACCAAGACAGCTATCGTGTCCAAAGCGCACGATTTCTTCAATATGTTGACGAATCCTTCAATCGAAGTAACCTCCATCATACCTGTCAACGACGAAGTCATCTTCGTCAATTCGGCCCTGACTGAAGAAGCCGTGGAACCTTTGAAGACTAGCAGCGTCGTGCTGGCGGCCTACACAACCGCTAACGCTCGCCTAGTACTATACGAGTATTTGGAACGGCTTGACCAACGTGTACTATATTTTGACACAGACTCCGTCATCTTTACCGAACAGTCAGGAGAATGGTCACCTCCGACCGGAAACTTCCTGGGTGATATGACGGACGAAATAGAGTGCTACGGTCCGGGGAGCCGTATAGTAGAATTTGTGAGTGGCGGCCCTAAAAACTATGCGTACAATGTGTTTGTTCTCGGTGATAACCGTGAAGTGACGATGTGTAAAGTTAAAGGACTAAATTTAAACTATAAAAATAGTGCAATAGTGAACTTTGACACAATTAAAGATCACGTTTTGAACAATACCCCTGAAACGTTTGTGGAGACGGATCGCCGAATTGCACGGACATGTACTTTCGAGGTCATTTCAAAACCTGAAAAGAAAACGTATCGTGTACATTACACGAAACGTCGTCGTTTAGAACAGGGGTACGATACATTACCTTATGGGTATAAGGTATAGTTTTTATTTTGTTATGTAAATATCTAGTTTTTTAGATACAGTGTACCGACATTGCAAGATTTAACTATAAGAAGAATCATCAATGCCGAAGTAAAACGAGAAACCTTACCACTCGTGCTTGCTAACAGGATTAGGTCGCTACAGGAAGAGCAAGTAATGTTTGGGAATGATGCCCGGGACCTTAGACTAACGGTAGCATACCTGAACGCTGACAGGATTGTCCTTTACAACAGTATCATCACGCGAATCGAAGCAATACAGATATTAATCGAATGGTTTACTGACAGCCCGCTAGATCCCGATAACGACTTTCCTAGGTTAGCAACTCACGCCCTGGATATGCTTGAAGCTTTTATTAATACCGCTAATCAACTGATAAGCGATTACGAAAATATTCAACGTCGCAACGATCAACTTAGAAGGTGGTACGATAGTATTTTTTAAATTGTAATTTTTGTTTGGTGATTGTAATTATTCTTGTTCATTTATTTCAGTATTATAATAAACATCATTAAAACGTGCTTTGTTTATTTCTCCCTTCTATTTCAGAATACTGAAGTGAGAAAGATAGACGCAATGTGTAAGAAAGAGATACAAAAAAAATTCAAATTTCCCGCCATCCGCCATTTTGTTTTTCAGCCATTTTATTTTGATTAGAGTAATTAAAATGTAATTACACATGTGTGTAATTCTTGATTATACGATCAATTTAAATTAATCGATAAATTAATTAGATCAATCAAACCGCGAATTAAATTAATCGAACCGCGAATTAAATTAATCGATAATTAATTAGATCAATCAAACCGCGAATTAAATTAATCGAACCGCGAATTAAATTAATCAAACCGCTAATTAAATTGATTAAGCCGCGAATTAAATTAATCGATCCGCGAATTAAATTAATCAAACCGCTAATTAAATTGATTAAGTCGCGAATTAAATTAATCGATCCGCGAATTAAATTAATCCACCCTCGGATTAAATTAATTAGAGCAATCAAACCGCGAATTAAATTAATTGATGACGTCATCAATCAAATCAAATGCCAATAAAGACCAAAATCGTACCAATTTTAATTAATTAAGACCAAATTCCAAGAAATTAATCAAATTTCCCAGAAATAACCCCGCCCACGTGGGCGAACCCCACCAATCAATTTAATTAACCTTGATTGACCCCGCGAATTAAAAAAAAGTGGAGGGGCGAAGTGTCGGTCTTCTACTTACACTGCTTCTCTTTTATGCTTATTTTAATAATCGACACTAGTAATATTCCATAGGCATTCGTACTCGCCATATAACTCAACTAATTTTATAGTCTCGGATTCGGACCACTTCATTTTCAAAATGCACCACATTAAACAATAAAGAATAAACCGGCGATTCTTCAGTACACGCTCCACTAATACCAAGACTATTTTCATTAGTAGAGTGACGGTAGAGGAGAGAGAAATCGGTAGTGGGAGAAGGCAAGTCGGCGAGTTACTTTACCACCGTGCGATCTAACTCTACTCTACTAAAATCTAGTACTCTACTCGCCCAATTACGTTTTCATTGGTAGAGTTTGAAGTATAGTTAGTACTTGCCCAGATTACTCTACTGCTAACGCTACTAATGAAAACGAGGCTTTATTGCGATAACTCCGGTACACATGATACCAAGACCCACGATGGTCCAAAATAAAGGATTTGGGTGGTATTCCGGATAGTCGAGTGGCACAGGCGATAATTGGTTGGCAAGGTTCTTTAATTCGTAAATTCCGGCCATATCGATTTTACTAATATTTGGTGTTACCAAAAGTTTGAATTTATTATTCGGAGTTAACTTGAGTTCTGGTAGGATTAGGGGTTTTGCTTTTTTAATCTTCAACGATGTGAATTTGCAGATTAGTTGCGGAAGGATAGAAACAGAGGAACCAACAACGACGACGACGATATCGACGAAAACACGATCATGTGAGATTTATGAAAGCAAATTCTGTAAACTTTCGTTATAACAACAACGTACTTCAAGATTATCATTCGGACGTGTGTGGTCTTCACTGTTTAATGTTCCTTTACTTTAGTTAGAGCTTACAATATAATAATGTCCGATTTTGTAGATATTTTTACAACGTGTTTAATTCAAAACGATGAGATATTAAGTATTTATATTATGCTGGTTTTTATACGATTACATTTCTATACTAATAATAAAATTCTTCTTCTTCTATTCCTCTATATATTACAGTATAGAAGTCGTCAGGATCTGTAACTCTAGGCAAATCATCATCATCTCGATCCATCAAGGCCCCAGTCTCGTCACCAGTCACTACTTAAAATTAAAAAAAAAATAAAAAAGCAACCAAAATAATTAACAATTTTTGGAGCTTACTTGTAGAGATACTCTCGCGGTATAGGGGACGAGGTCGGCGGCGGCGGAACGTTGTTGTTGTTGTTCACTGCCTCGGAATCCCCTTCAGCCTCGCTGTCACTCCTTAAAATAAAAAAAGACCAATTACATGATAAAAATAACATCTTACAATATAGTTTTGGTACTTACGTGTCGAAGTTCACATATGGCAGCGGTTGAAAGTCATCATCTCCTTCAGTATCGCTGTCACTTCTTAAAAAAATCAAATTAAATGTAATAATCTCGTTTTTTGCATTTACATGACGACGTATGACGGTATTGGAAACGGAAGTTGAATGCCATTGTTTCTGGACACGTGCAATTGTAGAATAACGATTATAGCGAAAATTTGAATGACTTATCATCTGTTCTTACAGTGTTAATAAAATTTTATTTTATGAAAACATTGACATGTGGGAATACTTATTGAATTTCGGTATTGTATTAGTAATAGTAGTGAAGCTCGTCATTAGACAAAAAAAATCTAATTATGTAACGCACTTTAACGTACTAATTTTTTTTTAAGTACCTGCTAATTTACACTTTCTTACACAATTACCTATATCATTTTTAAGGTAGGTAACCTTAAAAATGATATAAATAAATATTTCAAAGGAGTTTTGTCTACTATAAAATGCTCTTGTTTTTTTTACAAATTTTCATTATACCTATCCAAAAGTTTCGAAATTTTCTACTCTTCGTCGTTTGGAACAGCTTATTCTATATTTTTTGGACTCTGCTCTGCTAATCCCATTATAGTGATTACCTCTAACACTTTTTCGGTCATTATAAACATATACTGACCCCTTATCGTTATTAAGAACCATATCGCGCATCAGATCGAAATTTATTACAGAAGAATTTTTGAAATTCAAAGTTATACCTTTAACTTTGCATACGGTTACGGGTACACCCTATAACTATAATTAAATTATAGTTATAGGGTGTACTACAAATTTTGTAGGCCCCGCGCTAACAAACTCCTCTATATAACTACCCGGACGCATTTAGGCAGAACGTACCACGTATTAGCTATACGACCAAATTTGGCCGCTCTGATTGGACCGCGACGAAACAAGGTACGTATTGCCTAACTAGGTGTCAGACGGATTATCATCACATCAATTGATTTTTTTTGCATTACTGCGCTTGTCTTAACTGTTTTGATTTAAAAAACCAAAGACTGTAGGTTATTTATTAGAATTTATTAGGAATAACAGTAAACTGCCATTTTCCATTTTGATTTCACAAGGTAAGCTTTTTTTACTTTTTAATTCAAATGCTATTTTGGTGGTTGAGTGCGTGTTCTTTATTGGTGGTCTTAACTATTTATTTTACATGAATTAGAATACAGATAATATATACAAAGGTATTAATCGTCGCCGAAAAGGCGGAGCACGAGTTGTTTCCGATGCCGGTCGCGTACGACGAAACGTCTTGGGTCGTTGACGGCGACGGTGAATGGGTTGATCGCGTGTGCTCGATGGCGTTGGCATGTGATCGACACGTGTACCTGCCGAAGTTACGCGTGATCGGCGCGTGTACCACCACACTATATATATATATATATATACGTTTATTTGAGTGTGTCTTTTTTGTGTCCTTAGTCGTTCGTTTAACGATGATTGAAATTGAAGCTTCGCAATTGAGATTCTTAGATTGACTTGGTTTTTTTAAACGAACTGTGATTTCTAGAACTAAAAACATTTTTTTATCGATGCTGAGAAGTTACCTTTACCACGCAAAAATAGATAACCAAACCACCTCCGTTTAAATTGTTGTAGTAGGGTAGGGTGGGGCAGGTTCGGACAAGTTTTTTCAAACATTAATATTTCAGAGATAAGATAACATTTTGAAACTTATTCAGCTGCCATGCACACCTTAGTCTATTTCTAACATTTTGGCATTATCTCAAGCGAAAAACTGCAGTGGTTTTCGTTCAGTTACAGTTTTTCCAAAAAGATGCATTAGTGGGGTATATTCGGACAAGTCTAATAAAATTCAGAACTTATTAATTTTTAAGAGAAATAAAAGGTTATATATCAGAAAAAGTTTATTGAACGTTATAATATAACCATCAAAATAGACATGGATTTTGAAGAGCGAACACATCCTGAAAGTGCCTGGTGCTGCCTCGGGATTAGGTATTTTCGAAACTATATCTTCTCTGGAAACAGTCGAAATATCTTGCAAGTCCGGAAAGCGGAATCCGTTTTTATACTTTCTCAAAAAATTCAAGGTGTAAGAGTCATCATTATTGCAAGCTTCCACTCTGCCGATGTAATGAAGTGTCCTTTTGTTGGTCGGAAATTTGACAAGCAAATAATCATTACTATGGATTACGTCATCATCCAATAGCATGAGCTCATCGTCATTGTCTTGAAACTCGTCCAGAGAATCGGACAGAGCAACTTTAAGAGTATCACTTCATAATATGTAACATGGGGCACATTCGGACAGTCCGAAGCTATCCCACTAGATTTGTCCGGAAGTGCCCCATGTTACAAAAATCCATAGATGATAAAATAAAAATTCGCACATGGTTTATATACAGGGTGATTCCTATAGTACCTGCCACCGTTTGGGAGTGTATAGGGGGTGCCTAGGGGAAGTCTTTTCATATAGGACACTTGGGGTCGGAAATCCAAAATAAGGGCGCCAGAACCAAATTTATCTTCTGGAATTTCACGCCTGTATGTAGGCAACCCAACCGACCGACGTTTCGCGCGGAGCGATGCAGAGCGAGTTAGCGCGAGGAAGCGACATGGGAGGAAAGGAGGGAAAACGACAGTCAAAAGCAATAACGTTTACAAGTGTTCAACGTGGCCACCGTTGTTCTCAATGCACTTCCTACATCTAGCCAACCACTCCCCTCGAACTCGCGTGAAAACTCCTATGTCCTGGCGAACAGCCTCTCCGGCCATGACGACGCGCGCAATTAAGTCCTCTTCGGATTCGACGGGAGTCTCGTAGACGTGCGCTTCCATCACACCTCACAAGTAAAAATCTAATGGGGTGATGTCGGGCGAGCGGGCAGGCCACTCCACCGCACCTCCACGGCCGATCCATCTGTCCGGATAGGTTTGGTCCAAGTGTTCCCTCACCTGCCGCCCGTAGTGAGCAGGGCACCCATCGTGCTGGAACCAGCGGTCCCAGTACAAGTTCACTGGAACATCCATTAAAAGTTCTGGTAGCACCTCGCGCAGGAAAATCAGGTAATTATGGGCATTTAGACGCGGAGGGAGGATGTAAGGCCCCAGTAGGTTGTCCTCCAGGATGCCAGCCCAAACGTTTAAAGAAAACTTGTCCTGGTATCCTCGCGTAAACGTTTCATGAGGATTGTGCTCCGCCCAGTAGTGGCTGTAACGAGGATTAAAGGTCCCCTCTCTTGAGAATCCTTTCTCGTCAGTAACTAGCACGCTCCTCAGAAAGTTCGGATTAGCTTCTTCCTCCTGGACGACTAAGTTGCAGAATTCCAGCCTCCTTTCATGGTCACCCGGCCGTAACTCTTGCACTTTCTTAAACTTATAGGGTGTAAGTTGTTGTTGTTGGCGATGTTCCACACTGTGTGTTGACTACAACCCACCTGATCTGCTACAAGTCGAGTGCTAGTACGCGGGTTTGCCTCGAAACTTTCCAACACATCCTCCTCTAAGGCATTTACCAACGGGCGATCGCGATCACGGGCGCTAGTGGGCTGCGAAATAGGAGGAGGTCGGTGTAAACAAACAAACTTTTCGAACTGGGTGCTTAAATGACCCAAGTATCGATGTGCATCACGAATCTGTGTGTAAAGTTAAGCCTCCGTCAGCTTACCTGCAATTGCCCTGTCTCGCACAGTCGGAAGTGAACTACTTGAAAGACCTGTCTGCAGGGTAACTGACGGTTTGGATACCGCTCAGCGTACGCTCGTCGTGCAGCTCGTGCGTTACCATTTGCCAATCCGTGTGCACAGCCGGCCGGTTGGGTTGCCTACCTACAGGCGCGAAATTCCAGAAGGTAAATTTGGCTCTGGCACCCTTATTTTAGATTTCCGACCCCAAGTGTCCTATATCAAAATACTCGCCTACGCACCACCTACACGCTCCCAAACGGTGGCAGGTACTATAGGAATCACCCTGTATAATTACGTTTTAGTTGATAATTATTTATTGTAAAATAATTCTACCATACACGAGAATACTCACTAACCGAAGCCAATATGAATAATCTCTGACTTTGCTAAGCTGTGATGCATTTTATATACCTCTTATCGATAAACAAATTAAGAAATAATTAAGTAACTAAATTTCTAATGCTAAAGTACAATGAAGAGAAGGCAAACAGCGTGATGATAGTATACTAAACAAGATAATGAGATATCAATAACAAAATAAGATGATTCATAGTTAAACACAAATTGAGAGATATAATTATATGCCGTTTTATGAGGTTATGTATCGCTAAACATATTATTATCTACAGTAAATGGGATAAAACTTACCTCACTGGTGTTCTCAAGCCGACAAAGGTTACGATAGCTCTATTGAAATTTATAAGAACAACTCTATTTTTGAATTTTCTCAAATAAATAATTCCTGAGTGATCGAAGTCGCCAAACATTTACGTACTACAGAACTACTAGTGTTTAAACATATTGCATTGTCAATATGGCAAGTGTCATAGTACTTTAAGGTGGTAAATTTGAATTGTCCGGAGGTGCCCCATGTCCGAACCTGCTCCACCTACTCTTTACCTACTTTAACCAGTTTCTAGATCAAGCTTAACTGTGTCACTGATCTGGCAACACTGATGAAAATATAGAATACAATCAACGGCTCTATATAGCACAAACTAATCACATTCGCCAGCAAATTAAAAAAAAAACATGAATAATTAGGTTAAGATATTTTAGATTTTGATTACATAAGTAAAATTTTATTTGATTATGATTTTGTAAGTCGTACAATCCACGGCGTTGAACTTAGTTGCGAAAAATGCTTCATCCATTTCTTCACTGTCAAGATTAGAATAAAGAGTAAATTCACCGTTTATATTATCTTCAATTTTGTAGGTTAATTCTTGTGGCAATAAATTTAGTACATCTCTTTCCATATTATTATTCTCGTTTAAAAACACGAAAACAAAACGATAAATGCACACTGCATCAACAACGCAAGATTGCAAAATGTACCTATACCTACTTCCGAACCCATCTAGTTAAAATGTACCTCGTTGCCGCCATCACCAAAGCGGTGACAAACCGTACCGCGTTAGGACCCAACTTGGAAAAACGTACCGCGTTTCGCCGTGGTCCAATCAGAACGGCCAATTTTTGCCGAATGGTTAATACGTGGTACGTTCTACCTAAATGCTACCCGGACGCATTTTTTCGTTTCCTATTTAAAAAAGGAAAACAAGTTGTAAAATATTAATTTAAGCACTTTTATACAACTTATTGATGATTCACCCTGCACTTATCAACATAGGTATTTTTGTGGGAAAGCGTACAATTATTTGCAGAAGTTGGCATGCTTGTCACTGTAAAGTGTGCTATTTTGAATTGTGTTTTTTACAATATTAGGTGAGTATTTGCCCAAAACCGCAAATGGAGAATATTGGGTTAGTCATAAATACTCTCCTAATTTTTATATTAGCCATAAATTATCTATTGGCAGAACAATTTAAAATTGTTTGACATATATCAACACAAAAATGTAATTCCGACCACCCTTTTTAATAACAGGATCGATGTGTTGGCTAACATAAGTTAAACTAAATGTGCTCGTGCTCATTTCAATGAACTAACTTGCATTACACAGCACTTACATATTCATTTATTTCTAATCTAATTAGACAGAACAACTACTTACCTAGTGTATACAATATTATATTGAGGGAGAATAAATTGCCTGTAGATATTAATCTAATAAACCCAGTTTTCTATAATTTGCATTTGAAGTGTGGTCGGTATTTATGAACAATAATTCTGTTCGTGTATCGAACCCTGTCCACATGGTCGATATTCGTGCAATGCATGATTTTTATCGTATAGATCATACCAACCATATTTCGGATTTTTTTAATTTAATAAAAAATTTCAAAAAACTACCATAACTTATTTTTGTGCATAGACAAACCATGGAACAACAACAAGAAAACTAATGAGGCATTGCTCAACGCATTGACTAGTAAAAAGGAGGGAATGAGTATTAGAAGAGCATCTGCTCAGTTTCACATACCCAAAACAACGTTAATAGATAAAATGAAGAACAAGTATAAAGAAGGGGCAAGACCTGGGGCTCCCACAGTTCTCTCCTCGGGAGGAGAACAAAGTTTAGTGGAATGGATCTTGTACCTTGGGAGGGTGGGCTTTCCAGTAACAAAAGCTCAACTAATGGAAAGTGTAGCAAAGTTAGTGACTAGTCTCGGTCGACCCAATACATTTAAAAATGGAATGCCGGGTCGGCATAGGTATGAAGGCTTCTTATCTAGACATATGGAACTACCCGTATATCGCAAAATCTAACGCAACGTCGTGCCGGCATAACAGAACAAGCCACACGTAACTGGCTCGATCGGGTGAAAAACTACTTCCAAGAAAATAACTTCGGCGATGTTCTCAAAGATCCACAAAGTATTTTTAACTGTGACGAAAGCGCGTTCTTTTTGGCACCGAACGAAAAACAAGTCGTTGTTAGAAAGGGTTCAACAAAAATCTACACGAGGATTCAAAATGACGAAAAGGAGTGCTTGACTGTGTTGGTTACGGTATCTGCGGATGGGAATAGGCAACCTCCTTTAGTCTTAATGTCCTACAAAAGGGTTGATGACGGGGGAGAACTTTTATTAGTACATAACCAACGTATTTCATCCATGGCTAATGAAATTCGAGATACCAATGCCAGTAGTTTTATTCTTGGCCATTCTTCTCATTTGACTCTGCATCTATCAGAGTTTTGAAAAGCTAGAGGAATCATTTTGACAGCTTTATTGCCCAATTCAACTCATCGCCTTCAACCTTTGGATGTTGCAGTTTTTCGGCCAGTAAAGGTAGCATGGAAAAATCAAGTGCAGAAGTGGAGATTAAGTAATAACGGTCAAAAATTAAAGCGTGAGGATTTTTCTTCGTAAATGGAGATCTGTATATTAGAAGTTCTACCAGGGAATACAATTCAAAATGGATTTAGAATTTGTGGCTTGTATCCATTTTCACTTGACTATTTTGACTTTCCCAAATTAATAGATCAAGTTGGACGTCAACATTCAAAAGAGACTTCCACAGTTTCCGCACGTGACAATGAAATTCATACTGAAACTTCAAGAAAATCACCAAGTATTTTGTTAGAATTAGAGAAAAGGATTGATCCATATACCCTTATGGAATTCCGCATGTCAAAAGAATCATGGACTGGTAAAATCAATGATGAGTCTTTTTTCTATGGAGAAAATTTAAAGCCGAATGTAGTGGTAGTTCAGAAACTCATGAAGAGTTCATTGAATATCAAAGAAGAATTGATGCTGAGAAGAAAAGGAAAGAGACGGCTAAAGCGGAAAGAACTGTGAAGAGAAAAGGAAATGCTTCCAAGACCCTCAACAAAAGTGAGGGAAATCGCAAATATGACGAGGGTTGTTACGTTTGTAACAGTTTTATTATGATATCAACATTTTGTTCGTATTTCCATTTCAATCACCCTGTTTATAACTTTTCTATTCTGTGGTAGTCACCTTCACATTCGTTTATTTCCGTACCTGCCCGTTTTAATGTTTTATATTTCTATTATTGGTCTAAAAGCCAATTTCCGCTTTAGATAACCTATGTAATTTGATACCGTAACCATATATGGTATTGTAAGCTTCGATTGACCGCGTTATTGGTTGGAGCAAAACTTCGTTGTTTCATTGGGGCCGGAAATGGAAAAATTCAGCGTGTTTTACTTGCTAACCCGAAGAGAACGGTCGTGCGGTTCATCCTGATTTAAGTGCTAATTTAGTTCCTGTTCATTTTGTTTTCAACAATTTGGCGAAAGCATCTTTAAAAACAAGTGAACCATCATTGTACCTGCCATTTCTTTTTGGGCATGGTAACCATTTAATCCGAAAGGAGTTCTTCTAAAGGAACGTAAGCATTTGTAAGTTCTCTGTGTGTTCGAATCCACACTACCGTTATTTCTATTTTAGGGGACCATTCTGACAACGATCGTAGGATAACTTCCATTCACTTTCGTACGTTCACGAAGCTCTTTTATTTTCCGTTGACTCTCTCCATATAGAGGTTCGCATTTATTCTTGTGTAAAAACGTACCACCCATTAGTTTATTATTTTAGAGTTCACGTATTGGGGTCAAGAACTACGATCCGACTGTTTACCTGTGAAACGAAACTATAGACCACATTGTGTTGCGGATAAGGGGGCATAGGAAAGTAAATCGACTAAGTACTGGAGTGCAGTGTGTACGATCTAGCATCAAACCATTGAAATAACTTAATGGCCGAGTCGTACATATCTTGAAGCCGCTACCTTACTTCCGACACTTTGTGTAACACTTACAGCAGCATTTGTCATTCAACGTGCAACCATATACCAGGACCTGTGGAAAAGAAGACCTAAATATTGATCGTACGGTGATGTAGCATTGTTAAACCTTTTTGTAAATTTGTGTGTTTGCATTTGACCCACCTCGGTGGTGATCAATTGATAATTGGCCTGCATAGAGCCAAGATTATTACTGTTAATTGGTAAGCTTGACATTTTTGGGGTACAATATTTTAGCTAGTCAAAAGATTACTCTCGTTATGGAGTGATAACAATTTATGTAAGGTACGAACGAGCTCGTAAGAACCGAATAATTTCATTGCCCACTTAAGCTATAAATTAAGGTATCTATTTTCAATTTAATTCATTATTTTGCCACTGTAACGATATTTGTGTGTTAACTCCAGAGATTCTGGTGTATTTTATTCAACATTTTATGGGAAATTTTATGTAAACCTCTTCTTTTGTTAACTTTGGGAGGATTCATATTTTGAGTTGCTGCTTACCTTAAATAAGATTATGAATTCCCAGTGGGGAATCTAAGTTGTGCAATTTTGAATTTATTTCATGGTGCAGTGCACCGAATAAAACTTTTTATTTGTGGGTCATTAGTTGCCTATTTTAAAGCTAAAGCTACCTTTCCTAGTTCCGATAGTGTAAGCGAAACTTATATTGGAATTAGGTGGCGCCCAGGAAATTTACAAGAAGCCACAAAAGTAAATAGTGAAGATTTATTTGGAATCGATGATATATGATGAGCCATTACCAAATGTATTAATTCTGTCACCCACTACCCTGTGTATTTGTCTTGCTCTCTCCGCTGTTTACTATTTGGTCAACAGAGCTAGCTGGCCGGTCAGCGGCGTGTGTTTTTTTTTTATTAAAGCACATGGTATTTTGTAGCGCCTAGCATTTTGCAGCTTGCGCGTTATACGTTATCGTTACATATGAGCAGGAACTGTTTCCTGGTTTAATAATAAAAAAAATGAAAAAGGAGCAACTGTAAAAACAACGGCCATGAGCGGAAAAAATTGGAAGTGGCCGGAAAGAGACGATATTTTAGAATATAGTGAAATTGATATAATGTCCACTATTAATCCTCCTGTCCCGTTAAATAAAAGAGGAATCTATTCCGTACCAGAAGTGGACATGATTCGTACCTCTTTAAGGCAATAAATAGTCTTGGTGGGAATCCATGGTGGTAAAGCTCAAAACGGGGTTACAGTTACAGTTGAATAGGAATTTAACACACTAAACCTTCCCCATACTTCTTTATTAAAAATTGTGAATAAAATCACATAGCGACTATAGTTTCGACCTAAGTCATTTTCAAGCTGTAGGAAAATTGTAACTAATAACGAGTAACAATCTTGAACTATACATACCTTAAAATTTAAAACATCAACAACAGCAAATAGGAAATTGAAAGTACAGAAGTTACATTTTTTTATCAGTATGCTGGAAAGAACATGTGTTAACCACTAGTTGAACATAATTAATACTTACAGGAAAAAATTTATCCAATATAAAACAGTTGGTGTTAGGACATAGAAAAGTGGAACAAAATTAACATAGTCATGATACAACGACGATTAATTAATTCATGCCATTAGAAAATGGACGCAGCCATCTTGTACAAATATAGTCAACGACTTAACTCGAAAGGTAACGAAAAGGGAAAGGTTAAAGAAGGAAATAAAAAGCGGGAAATTTAAAAACAACAAGGTTAAACAGGGCCGGATTAGGTAACGGGACGAAGTGAGAAGAAAGGTGAAAGAATGCAACATAGCTTGCATTAGGCTATTGTTATTTAATTGTACTAAAATTTATGGGCCAAACTACCCTGTGCCTGCTGATGGCAGATGTCGGGACTCGCGGAAAGATTAATGTGCCCTCAAGTTGAAAACCCCCCAATCTGCTGAAGGCAGAAAAAGGGGAAAAAAGGGGGGGGGGGAGAAACACCACGTTGACAAGCGTAAAGGGGTAGGGGTTAATTAGTCAAGAATAACAAATGCTTGTTTAGATTTAAAATTTCGTTCAAGGAGTGTTGAGGATTCTCTCTGTAGTGATGGTAAATTTCTTTCATTTCTAGTAAGTCTAGTTTGAGGCTTTTATTACAAACATGAAGAATTTCAAAATCCTCCTTCGAAAACGAATGACCAGAACTCAGGATGTGGTGGGCAAAGGAAGAACCTTGGTTAGGGTGATCGAATTTGAGGTTATTGTTTTTGATAGCGGAAACGTGTTCGGAAAACCGGGTTTTGAATGAGCGACCAGTTTGACCAATATAACCAGCTGGGCAATCTCGACAAACCAATTTATAAACCCCTGATTTAGATAAGGGAGGTATAGGATCTTTAGTTTTCACCAAATTAGACTTGAGATTACTCTTGACTGAGAAGGATATGGAAATGTTGAGGGGACGGAAAAGACGAGCAATGATATCAGAGATCGGGCCTATGTAAGGTAAGGAATAATAAATGGAAGGGGAATCAGGGACCTGAGAAAGGGAAGTGCACCTCGAGAGGTTTTTTTTTTTTTTTTCCTAAATATTTACCCTTTACTATTAACCACATATGATTTACTAATTTGAACAATTGCAATCGTTACATCATCCCCTTTACATTTGCAGCTTGAGGAGCCATTATATGTATGGGTTCAGCTTCTGGTTTTTTGTTCCTACTTTTGAGGTAATATACAATATAAGGATCAATAGTGCTGCCTACTTGGTCATGGAATGCTAGTTTTATATTGCAAAGCCTTTGGATCTCTGACTTAGAGACCTTAGTAGTCTGAATCTTTATATTGAAATTGTCCCATGACGACCCAGGATTATCTACTTTTGTTTTGTAGATAGCTGCATAGGCTAAATCTTGGAAGTTATTAATTTCTAGTCTGGAATCCTGACCCCTTAATATGTAATTATATTCAAAGGGAATACCAATTAGCTTACACTCGTCGGTCAGCTCATTGTATGCTTTCTCAATTTTTTCAGAGTCTAAAACTATTTGCAATTTTGTATGAACAAACGTTTCACATGCTATTGCAAAATCATATGTTCTCATAAAAGAGCTCATCCCTGTCTCGGAAAGTATCATCTTTGAATATGATTGCAAGCTTTTCCAATATGATCTCCCAGTCACAGTATTCTCTAATAACAATGGCTTATATAGTATTTTTCGTAACTCGAGGCTGTCATCCAAATATTTCGCTACGTAAGCCAGGTCATAGGCCATATCAGAAGTTATGTCAGACTTGAACCCACATTTAACTTCAAACGCGGATCTTCGGAGTTTGATCCATTGTCTCATATTGTCAGCTGTCATCGTATTAGTTGATACGTCTGTGTTTGACTTTTTGACAATAGAGCATATAGCAAAAAATCCTAACAATACAAAATCTGGTATTTTGATTGTTTTTGTCTTAAGCTTGTCTATATCACGTTGTTCAGGGGCAAATAACTTTATCACCTCCTTGTCTTCTAGGTCAATCAGATCCTCCTGCATATTTTCTAAGTCCTTACTAGGCAAGCATCTCAAATAACAGTTTAAGTATAAACTCAATATTTTATTCTGTTTTTCTTTTGAAGGTGCTTCCATTGTAGAGACATAGGGTATCTTAGTTATATTTTTTATTATATAAACATCTAAATCTGTTTGATTAATAGCCAAATGCGGGCATCTATCATCATGGTGTCCCACTTCAGTTGCCCTGAATTGGTGTGACCTGTCTATTATATAACCTGTGTCAACTAAAAATTGATACACCACAGGAGAGATATGTATACCGATGGATTGCCTGGTGTTATACCAATCTGCTATCTCTTTACACTTCTTTTTACTTATTGCTCCTGATTTGTTGGCCAAGATCACATTATAATATGTCACATTGAATACTTTACTCCTAACTTTAGCTTTATTGGTACTTAGATAATATCTTATGGTAACAACCCCTTGAATCTTTTCTGCAGTAGATACATCAAAAGGAGGGCTCTCATCCTCATAAATTTGGATATCTGAAAAGAAATTAACATTCCCAAAGTCCATTTTAGATTGCTATATTGCAATAAACTTGAGTGCATCTCGGGTATACCCTCAAGAAAACAAAATAAAATTTTTGTTTGTCTCCTTGAACCTCTCGAGGTGCACTTCCCTTTCTCAGGTCCCTGATTCCCCTTCCATTTATTATTCCTTACCTTACATAGGCCCGATCTCTGATATCATTGCTCGTCTTTTCCGTTCCCTCAACATCTCCATATCCTTCTCAGTCAAGAGTAATCTCAAGTCTAATTTGGTGAAAACTAAAGATCCTATACCTCCCTTATCTAGATCAGGGGTTTATAAATTGGTTTGTCGAGATTGCCCAGCTGGTTATATTGGTCAAACTGGTCGCTCATTCAAAACCCGGTTTTCCGAACACATTTCCGCTATCAAAAACAATAACCTCAAATTCACCCTAACCAAGGTTCTTCCTTTGCCCACCACATCCTGAGTTCTGGTCATTCGTTTTCGAAGGAGGATTTTGAAATTCTTCATGTTTGTAATAAAAGCCTCAAACTAGACTTACTAGAAATGAAAGAAATTTACCATCACTACAGAGAGAATCCTCAACACTCCTTGAACGAAATTTTAAATCTAAACAAGCATTTGTTATTCTTGACTAATTAACCCCTACCCCTTTACGCTTGTCAACGTGGTGTTTCTCCCCCCCCCCCTTTTTTCCCCTTTTTCTGCCTTCAGCAGATTGGGGGGTTTTCAACTTGAGGGCACATTAATCTTTCCGCGAGTCCCGACATCTGCCATCAGCAGGCACAGGGTAGTTTGGCCCATAAATTTTAGTACAATTAAATAACAATAGCCTAATGCAAGCTATGTTGCATTCTTTCACCTTTCTTCTCACTTCGTCCCGTTACCTAATCCGGCCCTGTTTAACCTTGTTGTTTTTAAATTTCCCGCTTTTTATTTCCTTCTTTAACCTTTCCCTTTTCGTTACCTTTCGAGTTAAGTCGTTGACTATATTTGTACAAGATGGCTGCGTCCATTTTCTAATGGCATGAATTAATTAATTAATCGTCGTTGTATCATGACTATGTTAATTTTGTTCCACTTTTCTATGTCCTAACACCAACTGTTTTATATTGGATAAAAAATTTTTTCCTGTAAGTATTAATTATGTTCAACTAGTGGTTAACACATGTTCTTTCCAGCATACTGATAAAAAAATGTAACTTCTGTACTTTCAATTTCCTATTTTCTGTTGTTGATGTTTTAAATTTTAAGGTATGTATAGTTCAAGATTGTTACTCGTTATTAGTTACAATTTTCCTA